CATAAAGAAACATGAACCAAAACTTTTAATCAACAAAATTAAAATATGAATTATCGTAATGAGTATTTACATGAATTGGGTTCAATTCTTGTCAGAAGATACACAAGAGTTCACAGCAGAGCTCGCTTTTCTATACCAAATTCGTTGGACTTCAGTAAATTTGAAATAAAATTAATTTTATAAAAATGAGAAGCATGAAAAATAACAAAATTGAACAAAAGTAAAATTATCAGAATGAAGTACGCAGTAAGATAACAAAATTTGTGGTTTAAAAAACCATCAAATCATTAAAAATTTAAATATTGAATAATTTAAATAATATGAAGTCTATCAAAAAACCTGATTTTTAGAACCCCCTCCCCCCCTCTGTCACAAAAATTCTATAGAAAAAAATTTCTTTTGTTTGAATTGTAACAAAACACTAGACCCCCTCCCTTCTAAATGCCCGACGTCATAAGTGAACGGCCCCTTATCTATTCTGTTTTCTGATTGTAAAAATTTTAAAGTGCAAGTTATCTTCTGTCAACATTTTAAACAACATCTATTTAAAATAAGAAAACACCTTACATGATTAATTGCTATAATTAGCTACCTTAGTTAATGAATTTGTCATCAAACTGAAAAATGATCTTAAAAATTTATCAACGTCATTTAAGCTAATTAATTTAAATCCTATTGTACATCTCCTTCACATCCTTGCTGTTCTTGAGCAAGAAATAATTAGAAAACTCTCAGATTACAGAAATATGGCAACATCAAATTGTGTCAAAGCAAATTCATTAAAAATTTGATACTTTTAACAAAATTATGGAAGTTCTCTTTGTCATTAAGTGAGTTTATCACTCTTTTGGTTTAACTTCCTATACTTTGGGATATTAGACATAAATCTATCAAATATTTCTTTTGTTTGAAAACTTAAACTTAGCAAAGTTTAATTCAATGTTTAATACAATTTAAAACTCACAAACTTCCCAAAACTTAATTACAGTTATGCTTGCATTCTATGCTCCGTTCATCACCGTATTTTAATCCCAGTTGCATTGACCTAGCTTATCAATTTCTGTAATTTACTTAGCTGTTGAGACAACTCGTCAAATTTTCTCATGATTTTGTGATTTGAGACATGTTTTAAAACTCAATCAATCAATCAAAATTATATTTTTAATAGATCACGTTATGACAATGCTGAATATGAATTCCGCTTTATGGTACATCAATAGTCGAGGCATCAAAATAGCTTCCGAGAGTTTGTCGAGATGTTTTCGTAAAGTAAGTCAATTTATCAATAGTTTCGTCACACGAATAATTTATAATATGATTTGAATAATATTTTGTAAATTTGAGAACTTGAAACCATAAAAATATTCAAATGTAATTCTATTTCTCTTCTTCTTTCGGCTTCACCGGCAACGACACGTTTAGGACGTTGAAATCGAATGTAATGCTAATATGGTATCAAAATATCGATTTCTCTGGCTGAACTTGAGTGAGCTCTTACAGTCGTTAGGCAATGCATATGCACGAACGTACTCAACTTATTGCTTATTCATGTAAAATTTATTTTTTTAAGCATGACATAATATTCTCATCATTCATTCTTAGGCTGTTCAACATAACGATTGGACTTTATGGAACATTAGCTGGAGTCATCGACCACGGCTTTCAATTTTCTTTCAAAGAAATCGGCCTGATTGTTGATGCCGTTTATTCATTAGTACTTTTGTACATTTTTTGTGACTGTTCTCACACATCAACGCAAGAAGTTGCTCAAGGTGTACAAGATACACTACTTTCGATAAATACATTGCAAGTCGACACACCGACACAAAAGGAAATTGACATATTCATTCAAGCTATTGCAATGAATCCTGCAATTGTGTCGTTGAAAGGTTATGCTGAAGTTAATCGAGAACTTTTGACTGGTGTAAGTTGCTACTAGTGTAGTAAGGGTTTTCAGCAGTCGGAGATTGATCTTTGGAGGGTTTCTCTTTACAAGACATCACTTTAGATGCTTAGAATCGATAGAATGTACTTCTATTGCTCAGATAGATATCGTATATTCAAATTTTAGAGCAGGAGAGCATGAAGAAGCCTTAAAAATCATTTTTCTTACTTTGTAGTATTCGCATGACCCCATCAAAAAATTAAATGATGCTATAGAACATTTTATCAGCATTTAAATATTTTTTTGACCCTCAACAATGTTTCTGTAATCAGCTTTAAATTTGTCTCTTAATTAATTTTTTTATAATTTAAAAAGAATTGCTTTATTCCCAATCTTTCCCCAGAATATACGAAAAACATTTATTTAATGTTATTTTTTGCACATACTTAATCCGAAGCATTACATGTCGTATCAAATGTCACTAAGTACACGCGATAATCTCTCAATTTGTTTTTATTTTTTTTTTCGTACACAGAGTATAGCGACTATCGCAATTTACTTGATTGTGCTGATTCAATTTAAATTGTCTCTTCTTCAACAACAATTATGGAATGCTGCGTCTGCTGTGGGCTTGCCGAATTTACAACAACAAATAAATCTAACGGAAAATGCTCTTCATTTATGAATTGGCTAATTTCTTTTGTTCGGTCAGTTGCAATAAAAATATTTTTGTTTGTTTTTGCTAGAAAGTTTATTGTGATCAGCACAACAATAGAGTGAAATGTTTACAATGAAATTTGTCACATGTGAGACATAAAAGATTCAAATAAAATTCTGATATGAGTGTTAAGCTGAAGCAATACCGGATTCCACACTGAATGCATTTGTATTAAGCTATTACAATACCGGATTCTCTACTGAGAGTTTGATATGAGTGTTAAGCTACAACAATACCGGATTCACAAATGAGAGTATTAGATTCAACACTGGGCTGATAATAGATAAAAAGAGCATATCCATTCATATATAATCTATGGGCAAGATCAAAAATGAATTGTTCGTGACGCTTAACAATAATTTACAATTTTTGAATCAATAATGCGAAATATGTATTTAAGACTTGTGTTTTTCTTAAAGTCCTTGCCAAGACCTATATTTTGGTGTATAACAAGTATCTCTTAGACATTGTATTATAATTAAAAATTAATTTAAAATGCTAAGCATCACGAACAATTTTGAGGAAATTCGATTTTACACCATGTTGCAAATGTAATATCTCTGCGAATACTTCATTAATCATAACGATTTTTTCACCAGATAATTAAATAATCAGATCATTAAAAGTTTTGTCTAAAATATACAAAATGGCGGATTCGTAAGTTAGCTTAATTCAGCTTTAAAATGTTGAAGCTGAAATTTTGATATGAAGGAAATAGTTTAGGAACTATCTTTCTTTACATAAAAGGTTACATATGTAATTTTCTTTAAGTCTGTGAGAGAAAATTTTCAATTTTACTATAATTAACCAAGTTATGATGAGTTTTACAAAACTAGTCATAAGTCATTGCTGTGTTATTCGTCTACTGATTTTTTCATTTCAAACTATAGAATTCAACAATGTTTATCATATTGCAAAAGAAATATTACTTTTTGTTCAAGACAAGCAGAGAAAATTAAATTATAGTAAAAAATTTGACCAAAAATTTTGTAACGGTTTTTAAAATTATAAATTTGTGAGCAAATAAGAGCAAAATTTGTTGCTCAACTTAAATTTCATTGTTTTTATAGTTAATTTAACTTACTTTTAAGCCTTTTTCGAATGTATATTAAATAGTAAAAGACTCTTTAGATATCAAGTAATTGTTCTTGACCGATTAAGGTTAATAGTTTTGATTTAAAAATACATTTTACATTCAATTTGGTTTTCAGTTAATTTAACTAAAATAACTCATTTTTAATAAAATCTATTTTAATCATATGATAGAAAAAAGCAAGCTCTACAACTTTTGTCAAGCTTCCAAACATTTATCTTGCTTTCTTTTCAAAGAAAAATCGATTTCAAATATTAATTTGTTAATTAAACTAACTTAATAAGTCGCCATTTTGAAAAATGAATGTTAAAAAGAAACTTACTATTATTAGCTATCATGTAGTGAAGGAATCATATTAATTAAGTTATTAAAAGCAGAGAAATCTGAATTTCAATATTTATTCCCTTTTTTTCTGATCTTGCCCCTATAATAAAATTGTCACTTTGTGTTTTTGAATAAGAAATAATTTCGAAAAAATATGAAATTAAAGTCATGCTTTAAATTGTGATTCAAAATCAGTCATATTAATGTTTGAAATAAATATCAATCATAACGACTGACCTCATTGCTATATTATTTACTGTAATATTAAGCTTTACAATTCATGAAGAATAAGTTTAAAGTTTCTGACAATTTCTTTATCAAGCTAGGAATTTGGAAGGAAGGGTTTCCTTAGAAATTCAGAGCTCAAAGTGAATTTGATTCAGATCGACTTGCACGTAATCAACTTTGCTTAGAAACGCCAATCTAAAAATGAAAACCGAATATTGATTGGGGGTCGTTCACTTGGATTTCCAGGAATTTCTATTGTTCGTTTCTTACTGAACCCCCCCCCCCCCCCTTTGGCTCTTGCCACAAACCAATCTCCTCCCTATCCCAGGTTGCCATCTTTTTCCTTAGATGTTCTTTTCTCTTAATGTCATGTCCAATTTTTAAGGAATGGGGAGGAAGCACACGTTGTGTTTTACAATTATCATCTGCAAATGAAACTTCCGAAAGCAATAATTCCATCACCACATTAACGAATAAAATTTATTTGATCAAAAAGCTTTCAAAGTTCTTCAAAGCTTAATTTTCAAATAATTCCGTTTAAAAGCTTCAGTGTAGATCGACAGTAGAACAGAGATAATTAGCATGGTCTGATTTTTATATAAAAAGTGATAATGTTCTCTTCAGATTCAACTTGACCTTCATAGTCAACGGAACTCGATACAAAAAAAAATCTTGAAAATCTTGTTTAAATTGTTTTGTAGACATTAACAATTGTCGGTGGTACTTGCTGTAAAGCCTAACTCGCATTAAACGTTTAATTTAACTGTGGTAAAGATGAAAATCATTTGTAGTGCATTATTTTTTGTAATTTTAATCAATTATTCAGTTCAGATGGCTGAAATAAAGATTGCAACTTATGAGGAGATTAAAGACCTTCCAAATCATCCAGAAAAGCTGTTGATTGATGTTCGGGAACCTCAGGAATTGGAAAGTACAGGCAGAATTCCTACCTCAATTAACATTCCACGTAAGTCTTTTTTTGCAAATCATTTAGTGATCATAAAAAAATTATGCAAGCTGTTTCTTTTGACTTCTTCTTACTCAAAAGTTGATGAAGTAAGAAAAGCATTTTCTGATGAAATATCTGAGCAGGAGTTTGAGTTAATGTATGGCGTTAAAAAACCAAAGAAGGATGATTACTTAATTTTCAGTTGTCGTACTGGCAGAAGATCACTCAAAGCTATCAATGAAATTATTCCGTTGGGCTATTGGAAGTAAGCATTTTTTGCAGTTTGAACTTCTTTTTGTCATGGACTGTTGGTTTTAATGGATTTTTACGGTTGAAGAACGATTATAATTTTTTTGGTAAATTATATAGAAGTATGATCTTGCTTAGCGAAGTTCTTGGCATGCTCAACAACACTTGTACATTTTATTATTTTAATAATTAGCAATTAAGAAGCCGTTCATAAATGAGGGGGTCTGGAGTTTTAAAAAAAAGGGAGACGGTCTTTAAAAATCTCGTGTATTAATAGAATTCATTTTTGAATTTCTCAATTATTATTTAACTTTTAAGACCCCTCATCCCGGCAAAACTAGTTTCATCTTCATCTTAAAAGGCGTTACGTAACAAACGAATGCCTCCTTAATAATTATCATCACTATTCTTTGCTAATGCCATTTTTGGCAATCTCAATTAATTTCTTAGGAGCAGTTCACTTATTACAGTACTTATAAAATGACTTTTTTAGACCCCCCCCCCCTTTTGTTATTTAGACCAGTGGTGGCAAACCTTTTTTGTGCCACGACACACCTTTGAACCATTACCGAAACCGCACACAACATACGATTCCTTGGATTTCCCAATTTTTTTTCACAGCACATGGGTTGACCATCACTGATTTAGACTGTTACAAAATCTAAGCCATAAAATGCAAAAATAATAAGTGAACGACTCCATGTCGTAACTTTAGCTTAACATTCTTAACTTGTGTAAATATTTTCCTTAATTATTTAGTCGCAAAGGTGTCGGATGCATTAAAATTGGATGGTAAAAAGTTCAATGAAATTTATGATCGCGAAAAGCCTGGTTTAGATGATGAAATTATATTCAGTTGCTTGCTTGGTGGTAGAGCCCAAAAAGGAGCTACCATTGCTGTGGGTCATGGATTCAGAAAGTACTCATTTTTCATAAAATTCTAATTATTTAAAAGCATTCATAAACATTTAATTATTTTAGCGTGAAAAACTATAGAGGAAGTTGGACTGAATATGCCACCAAAGAGGGACTAAAAGTTGAGTAATTGATGCTTTTTATGCTGAACATCGGTGCATTACATGGTTTTTTTGTTTGTATTTAACAGTATTTTAATGTCATGAATGAATTTTAATTCATGCTTTATATTTTTTGAACCATTTTTAAAAAGATTAAATTTTCGCATCCAAAAAAGCAAGCAAGAATGTTTTTAATTTTACGTTAATGAAAAGAAAATGCAAAACAATGAAAGAATGCAGAGCGAGTTATGAATAATTTTGTTTACAGAATAAAAATAATACTTTACTTTAGACTCAGTTGAATGGCATGCAAAAAACTTGTAAAGAATGTATCAAATGGTGTCTTCAAATATAGTAGTTATGGACGTGATTTATTAAAATTTATAACTAGTGTATGAATAATTATTTTAAAAAGAATCTTAATCTACATTTTGAGGCACATTTAATGGTTTAAAATCTTTCTTTCTTTTGTCTCGGACATTAAAAAATAAGTTAAAATTGAGGATTTGTTAAATATTATTTAAAACTTTAAAAATCACGATCTGTTGCTTTTAGCCTTTTCAATTGCTTTGTCTTATAGCACATTAATTAATTTTGGACACATTTAAATTATGTCCACAATGCTGTTGATGCAAAGTAATAACTATGTGTTCGAGATAATCTAGAAAGTTTATGCTGTCGAACTGTATCACACGTTAGGTTCCTTTGTATTTTCAGGAGTGCTATTTGAAGCTGTTATTGTTATAGGACTTAAAAGACTTGATATGTAGTGATGCTGAAATCTGATACGATTTCCATCGGTTAGAAGTGCTGCAAAAGCCAAACAATCTGAATTTCCCATTATAATCAATAATGCCAATGATGAAAGACATAGTGTAGAGGTAATGTAAATGCTTCCATCTAAAATAAATCAATTGATTTATTGCAAAATATGAAAGTCATAATTGGAATACATACTGGCTAAAAATGTGAATAGCATCCAGTAGCCTCTCCATATATTGATTGTGGCAACTAGACAAAAGCCAGCATGAATGTTGCGATACAGCACTTTAAAATCAATGAACATTTCGCACAAAAAGTTGATTGTTGGATGAATCAGGAAACATATAATAGCAACAGTATATCCAATCAGCTTTAACAATGAAAAATTCTCACTGGATTACATTTATTATTAAAAATTGTGTCAATTGCTTACCAAAGAAGCTATTGTTGAATAATAGTCATTGTATGGATAGATTTTCAAATTTGCAATCATCCACAAATCACGCCAAATGAACACAATTAATCCAGTTATTAGTATTGTGCATATGCAGTCATGGACGAACGTAAAGATCCCATCGACTTTCTTCAATTTAAAATATTATTAAATAATTTAATAAAGAAGCTTTTAAGCATGTCTATCACGAACTTACACTCTTTCCAAAGTACGTTATACTTTGCGGCATCGGTTCATTTGGGTTGAATCGTGCAATAAAAGGAACTGATATTGTATTGACAAACACTTTGAAGCCCATTAAAATTAGCGAGTTTTGTACAATATTTAAAACAAGGGATGTATCATCATTCATAACAATCTCATCAAAAAAGATCCAGGAAAATCTCCAGAAACAAATCATTACGATCCCGCAGATTATTCCATAAATTGGAGGAACTAAAGTTGAAATTATTTTATTATCCATATTTAACAGCATTTTAGTTTCATCGTAAAAGAACAGCAATAAAAATTGTCCACCAAACGCCACAAGAACTGATGTATTATGGCAGTCAGTAAGTAGATAATCCATAATACTCCAACATGAGAACCAGAGTATCACAATTAGTGGAGTTATAATAAAATACAAAAATCCATGATCAAGCACTGTTATCACTATTTTCTTTACACTATTTAATATCATTTTAACTCTTATTTACTATTATTTAGCTTAATGTGCTTTACTTTTCATCCAAAACAACCAACTGACTGTCAGTAGCTTGCTGTCAGTACTTACTTACTATTGTAGTGAATTTTTATTGTGAATTATCAAGTAAGAAAATATTCAAATTCATTTTCTAATGGATAAACAGCGAATTTTTGAGACTAGCTTAATATGATTCATATCATTGAGGCTACCAGCTTTTTTAACATGTTATGAACATGAATCAAGACTATAGTCACCGGACAAACTGACAAAAGCACTTAATTCCCTAAAACGTGCTTTAAAGAGTGAGTAATCATGTGAGAAATTTCAGCGAATACATTTAAGCAGTTAATACTATTGAGTGTCATAAATCTACTGACACCTAATGACTGATATCTTGATCGGAACTAAGCATTTCCCGTGAGTCAAACGTGTTTAAATTTTTTTTGCATTTGCAAAAACCGATATAAATTTGAATTTTGACGGTTGAAATATTGACACGTGTTGCACATTTCTTTTCAACAAAACTGAATCATTGATACGGAAAAATGTAATTAGAGTTTAAGAATCAATGAAATGCTTTTGTAGGAATATTTTTAAAACAGAAGCTTAACAAAATAGAACAGAGGCAATAACATTCTGTCCATACATTGTAGATGTTTAAAAAAAATGAATAAAACTTATCGTGACAAACTCTCTAATTGTGTATTTTGTATTCTTGTGCTTTTAACCTTCATAGACAAAAAACATTTTAGCAAGTTGTTTTATAAAATGATGAGAGGCCGTTCACTTATTACGTTACAAAAAACGACTTTTTTCACACCCCCTCCCCCCCTTGTTACAATTTGTTACAACTCACAACACCCCCCCTCCACCTCCCTGAACGTTCATAATTTATTTTATCATTAAAAACGTAGAACGTTACATACTTTTTGCACCCCCCTATGTTACATTTTGTTACAATTTTTGCACCCCCCCCCCCCTCCCCCCTAAACTGCGAACGTAATAAGTGAACTGAGCTTTAATATTTTTTTTTAAATTGGAAAACAATTTTTTTATCAATTAAAGTGATCACGCTATTCCAATAGGAAAATGTATCCTATGATTATCATCAAACATGTGAGACAATGTGATTATAATCAGAACTTTAAAGTGGGAGATGTAATAAATTTGACTGTTAACCATTCAATTATTCATTTATGACATTGCTAGAAAATAATTGGAGAGGGGGGGGGGGGGGGATTCTGGGGTCAAAATAATTTATATTGTCGGGCAGTTGTTTAGTTGTTCAACTTTTTTTGGTTTTATTAGGTCCAATATCTAGCAAGCAGTTTCTTTGACGACAAAAGGAGGCCTAAAACGTCTATACATCTGCGGACATAAGTTTTGAACAGTTAAATTACATTTTTGACTGAATATTTTATCAAAAATTGTTGACATTCTCAGCTAGGATTGCAACAAGTTTGTCACTAAATCATCAACCCTGACTTACCATCTAATGGTTCAAAACAATGAAAATTCTACACCAAATAGCAACATCTTACCCATTCAACAGCAGTGCTCCCCTAATGCATGCACAAAAGAAAAGAAAAGAAAAAAAGGCAAAAAGGAAAGAATGGTTTATGGAAATACAAGGCAGGAGAAAGAGAGTACAAGGATGGAGTATAAGGAAGCAAAAAAAAACTTTTTCAATTTTGATGAATGATTCTCATCCAGCCATGGTATTAGTGAAAAACATTAGAAATAAGGGAAACACATTTTCTTTATGCGTACACATAGCAATCAACATAATTGAGCACCTATACAAGTATAAAAGACGACTGACTCACAACATGAGTTGAGAGATAAAAAAAAATACTTTTCAGGGATTCCAAATCACAGTTAATGTAGTCGAATGAAATGGTAAGTATGGCTTATGTTTGGAGTATCTGAACATTTTACTCTCACGGATATAAAAAATTTACTCAGAGAGGCACACAAAAAAAGCTTCGGGAAAACCACAGAAAGAAATGTTAACATTCTCCAACATTATTTTTCATCATTATTTTGTTTGCTTTCGCTTCGCTTTGACTGCATTTTTGTATATCTGCAAAAAAATATTAATATCAGTGGAGTGCTTTACCAGTGAATTATTCAATATCCAATTGTTCAATAATTGAAACTAAATGTTTTAGTGCAAAAAAAGGAGGGATTTTAGTTTATTTATGATTTATCGTCGCGGCAGTGTCTAAATCCTTTTCTATTCTCGCTGTATGAGCCTGTCAGTGTGCTATCATGCTATCACATAATAATAATGGCATAAACTTTTGATGAAAATGAAGAAAAAGTAAAAAAAAAATAATAATTTGAAAAGGGGAAAATAGAAGTAAATGACTGGATTGGTATGAGGACATCCAAACCAGCAGAAGCTCAAGTGATGATAGTGTTTGATTGCTTTGCTGCGTGCTTAAATTTATTGAAATGGCAGAGCAAAATTGTTTCGTATCGTGATATTATGCTGAAGTATTTCAATGTACATTATGCCTGAATGTCTATCATAATCCCCATGAATATACGTGAAAAAAACTATAGAAGACGTACAGAAATATGAGAAATATTAATAACCTCATAATAATGTGTTAAAGGATTTCCATCTTCTCATTCTCTCGAGCATAATTCATCAATTATATTCTATACGATCCGTAAAAATAGGAGGTGGAGAAGAAGAAGAGGTTTGAAGCATTAAATTTTATGACATTTTAACAGCCCTCAATGCAAAATCACTTTTAAGTGCTAACGGAAGAGACTTTTTTTGCCACTTCTTGTTCTTCTTCGTACACAGACAATTTAATATTAGAGCAACAACTATATATATATACATACATACGTAAATATACAAACCAAACATATAACCATAATTTTTTATGAGCAGTGGAAATTGAAAATAAAATTGAATTATGTGAAAATTGTTGAACGTTGCAAATGAGATTTTCTTGGATAAAATTTCCTACGATTTTCCTGTGAGGAAGAAAAACGGAAACAGAAGGAACGAAAGAATAAGAAGAAAGATGGCAATTTTATGCATAAATTGTCGCTTCGAATAATATTTGCGTTTTGAAGTAGCAGAGATATAGAAGAAAAAAAAAAGTTTGAAGTGTAACATAAAGTGAGATAACAACGTTATCAAGGCCTTAAAAAGGTAAGTGACGGATTTTATTTGGATTTCTCTTTAGGGTATATTCAGATACATTTTCTTCTTCTTCTTCTACTCGTTTTTTTTCTATGAGGACACTTTAGAATCTAATTTTCCATCCTATCAATCATTTTACTCAAGCATAGCTATGCCCCGAGCATTAGCAAACGTTCATTTACATTATCGAGCTCTTGACAGAAATTCATTTTGCTCAATCTTCACATTGTATTATTTTGTGTGTATTTTGATGGGACGAGAGACTGATGTTCTTGCAGGGTTGTTTGATTGGCTGGGTGAATGATCTAAAGGTTTTCAGGAATTGATTTTTAAGGAGCTTAACATTATCCCAACATATTGGCAATAAATCATTGAAAAACGTAATTCAAACAATTTCTTGCCATGTCTCTAGTCTGACCTAGATTGAGCTTATAAGCAAACTCTGAGCTTAGACAATTTTAGTACGTAGCCCGAACATATAACCATATGCTTTATGATCCTCTTACGGAAAAGTGAACATGCTCTTTAGTCCCAGTAGAGGCGCAATGAACATATTTTGGTATGTTAGGGCAAGACATTATTTGTATTGAATAAGCAGATATGAGCGAATCTGCCAGTGCGAGAGTAGGGCCTCTGTGGCCGGGTGGTTAAGCAACAGACCAAAAATCTGTATTCATCCTTTGTGAGTAAGTGCGTTCGATTCCAACCAGAGACAGATCTTTAAATCCCAATATACAGAATGTTTTGATATGACAAGGATTCGCACAATGCTCACGACATTACAGACAGCAATGGTTTTAAACATGATCAATCTGATTGAAAATCTAAGCCCCTAGTCATAAATAGGCAGGTATTTAAATAATTCTTGCTAATTCGCAACAAATCATCCAATTGAACCCAACTCTGCTGTAGTTTCATCGCAAGTATTTTGGATGTTATTATTGATGTTGATACTAACAAACGAACGATGTTGATGATGATAGAAAATGCTCAAATATTATTCTTTTTGCCATTCCATTCCAAAAAAAAAAATCAATTCAATTCAATTACCATCCGCACTGTTTGTACAAATATTTGATAAGAATAAATTAAATTTTAATACGGTAGAGAAAATTGTAGAGTGTGCGAAAAAAGCATTTTCAAGTGTTTGACTTGATGGAGAGGAAAAACAACACAGCACAGTACCGCAATGATGAGGCAATCTGTCATTTTGAACGCTAAAGCTGTCACAATATTGCGGATTATACAGACTGATACGATACAACATTGTTTAATTTACAAAATGAGAAAATTAAAGCCTTAATGCTTCACAAAAATACACAAGAGAGTCAGATGTATGTATACATAATAAGACAGAAGCTGAAGAAAGGCGTGCAAACAAAACAAAAACTGTTAACGTATCATGATTCTAGTGTAATCCATCAAAGTGTTTGGTGGTGGTGGATGAAAATTTTATACTTTGAACATTAATTTTGAGAATTCTATGCTTTATTGAGTTCTCTCTTTTTCTGGGTAGATGAATGGCATCTCTTGTGATTTAATTTCAAGTCATAATCTGAAATATTTTGATCCGAGGACATGAGTAATTGCACCTATTAATTTATTTTAAAATCTGGGATCTAATCAAGGGGATGAATGCTTATGAACAGCATAATTTGCATGGTCCATTCACAAAGCTTAGCTATTTTGGAGATTGTTAATGTTATAATGTCTTATAAGAGCAGATGTAAAATTGTAAGACACTAAAGTGGCATTTTAAAGACATAGTTGGTACCAAAAATCCTGAATTTTGATAGACGTCAGTCAAAACGACCCTTAAATGAGTCACTATTGGAAGCCTAGAATAACTACTGACTTGTCAATCAGGATTTAAATTATTATAATGATTTCCAAACACCCTTCGATTCAATTCATCATAATATCCAATCAAGTCAGACCCAAACAGCGCTTTATACCCTCATCACAATATAATAATCCAACATATG